CACAGGTGGCACAGCCGGACCCCAACTGACCGAAGGGACATTCCGTATCATATGACATCATGCTCAGCATACAAACTAGGGGAAAAATTGTTGGGGGTCTGCTGCTCGGGAACAGGCTGGGCATTGGTCAGCAGGTGGTGAGCAATTGCACTGTGCATCACTTAGTTTGTATATTCTTTTATCATCATTATTGTTATTATTATTTTCCCTTCCTTTTCACTCCTATTAAATTGTCTTTATCTCAACCCACAAATTCCACTCTTTTTTCTTTTCTCCCTCAATTCTCTCCCCCATCCCACTGGGGGGGAGGGGAGTGAGCGAACGGTTGTGTGGTGTTTAGCTCCCTGCCGGGTTAAACCACAACAGTCATCACTCAAATTTTTCTTTTTAAATATAGCCTTTTTCTGCTAAAACTGTTTCTCAATTTTAATATCTGGGTTTTGGTGACTATAATTTACATTATCTCATTAAAATTTTCTGAAACATTTTTAGGAGACTCTCATGTAAGCTAAAATGGCCAATTACAAGGAAAACCTACTGTTACACATAGATGTGAATGGTGAAATAGTACATACTTAGGTGCAGTCTTTAGACCCGTACTCTAAACAGAGGATTGAGCTCTGTTTTGAATAGAAACTGTATTATAAAAAATGAGAATTCTGTCTGCTACAAAATTATTTCTTTTCGTGCATGCGTGTGTGTGAGTGTAGAAACAGCTGTTTGTATCTATAGGTATCAATGTATATTTTACACTGTTGCTTCAGATAATTATGTAATTTTGGTCCAGCCATGCCCTATTTTCATCATTTGAAACCTACACTAAGTTCACTGGAAAACAAACAGGTTTTGAATATGGAAAATCCACAGAGAAAATAAAGGAAACGACTTCAAAGGATTGTCTGTCATTTTAAGCACTCAATAAGTGCCGTGCAGTCCACTCATGTTGACATAATCACCTTTTTCCATATATTGTATGAAAACTTTTCATTTTATGGGGACAATGAAGAAAATTAATGTTTTGATTTTACACAGCAGTTCCTATTGAGACCAGTATAGCGAAAACGTGATGTTTATTTAGAATACAACAGCCACATGGGAGAAATGCTGGTTCCTATCTGGGTTCAACACTGAACAACTACACAGCCCTGCTGCGTAAGAGGTGGGAAGCAAGTCAGGATGCAACGAGCTTGCAAGCGGGTTTAGTCCTTGCTGATGCCAGTGAGATCAGTTCTGTGTGTGTCTCCACCTATTCGAACCTCCAACGGGTATGGAAGCTCAGCATGCACAGAGAGAAGTGCAGGTCTGAGTAGGTGGTGAGTGAGGACATGAACATGCACCAGACAGGTTTTTACAGAGGGAGAAAGCGGTCTATTGAAGGAAGAAAGAGCCTCACATACCTTTTCTTTTATGCCCACACTTGCTTCTCTAAACTTGTTTACTTCCTCACTTCATATAATTTTTCCCCATAAATATATATAAGGAACCATTGAAAATTCACTGCAAAATTTAGTTGTGTAACTTCAGTTATGTGCTAGTCTGTAACTAGGAGAATAGAGGATATCTTTGACTTGCTAGCAATGCAACCTTCCTCCCTCCCCTCTGTTTTTCTTTTAGGTAAAAGCAAAGTTGTTTTTTCCTATTTTTTGATCAATGTAAAAGCAGAGTAAGAATTTCTGTGTCAAGATATTTTGATTAGCTCTCACACGTTAAGGTCTACACTTTAAAAAGAAATTTCTAAATGAAACTGAATCACTGGAACATCTTATTTACAATGGTGGCATAAGAAAAAAGGCTCAATCCTAAATATATAAGCCTTTTATTCAAAACAAAGAAGCTGGCAGGACTGATACAAATTCACAAAACATGATGTCACTGCATCTAAATTCTTCAGTAAAAATGGATCAATGAAGAATATTTGCCTGTATCTAGCTATGGCTATTACCTAATCAAAATTAATCGTTGCTAATAAGCTTGCTATGTAAGAGTCGCAGAACAAGTCAACAGTATGCATGAATTTGGACAATTTTTTGTTCAGGTAGGTAGAAGTTTGGAGAAACTTCTTTTACGTAAAAAATTATCTATACTGAAGATTCTTCAGAAGAAATACTGTTTCTATGTTTGCAATTACATTTTAGGAAAGCCAAAATTTCACCTGTGGTTGATACTTAAGGAAGAAAAGATTCTCTCTTAGACTGGGAAATATGGATGAAAGAGAACATTTTCCATATAATGGACTTGTGCCTAAAAAATTTAGATCATTTATTTCAAAGTTTGGAATGGACTTCCCTTCTGGTTAGCAGCAATTAACTTCTGGTAGACTCTTTGGTCCATGTTAAATACGCAGTAACCCTCTCTGTAAGAGACATTGCAGCAATATTCAGACAAAATCCCAAAGTTTTGGGAGCGATTGATTTTCAATAGAATTTGTGTGTATTTTTTCCAAACGTAGACCTAGTTAAAAGACCGTAGAAGTACTATTTTGCTTTTTAACCTAAAAAGTTGAAAAGTCTGACTTGGTTTAATGTCCCAGTCATATCAAAATAGGCTCTACATTGTTCTCTCATTCACTAGGCTCAGCGAAAGGCCAAAAGCGGCGCAGACAGGGAAAGTGAACTACTCCCACGTCCTCAGGTATTTGCCCTCAAGCCCACTGGCACTAGTACGGTTGCTAATTGCAAAGTCAACATGAAGAGCTAAGAGTTAGGCTGTAGAGATCTTCTCCAGTTATCTTAAAGATGGTTCTGGCAGCGCTGCTGAAATTGTTGGGGACTTATCTGGAGCAAGCTAATACGTCTAACCATATCCTATTCTATTACTAACAATATTCTTCTGCCACGCATTGAGGAAGCAGAGCTGGTTTTCACCTTTAGGCTTCGGTGAAAAACAAAACCTGCTGGAGAACTAGTATGTCTCTTCCAGTAACTCTGTTTTCTCACAGGTCTTTACAGCCTATTGTTACCAACAAACATCTCACAGTTGCCAAATCTTTCCAGTATGTGACCTCACTCAGCATAGGGATTTGGGTTGTCAAACCCTTTCTAGATGTATCTTCTCAAATACCTGGGGATGACTATAATTTTGTGTTATTTTTTTAATCTTCCTGCAAATTCTAGCTCAGGTTGACATGGACTGTATGTGTTCTGTATAATTTCAAGTTTTTCAAATAATCCAAAAGTTAGCACAGGTGCTTTTGCATGTAGAACTCAGTGACTGAAATAAAATACAGAAATGCTTATGATTTTCTGCAGAGATAGAATACTTTTCCAGAACTGTCAGTGAAGCAGCTTTCATAGCTGAATTCATTTACAAATCACTGAAAGAATAATAATAAAAGTAGCAACTCAGAATGTACTCCACCAGCCACAGCCATTACACTTCGACATTCTGTGATATGAATTAGAAACAGATGACGATGTGTGACATATCTGAAAAGGCATGTAGTTAGTTTAGGATTTAATTTATACTTTTTTGGTTAACCAAATAGCCTTATTACATTCTTTGGTACACCACTGAAAACAATCAGCTTATTGTAAGGCTATACATTGATATCTAACATATGAGTTTTCAATTTATTTGAGACTTTATGTCTTTAGTTGTACAGTTAGCCTGAATGTTGCCCCAGAAACAGTGCAAACTCAAAAAGAAAATAGAAGAAGCGTAAGACAAAGGTATTAAGGCTATTTTTTCTAGCACAGCAACTACTTCAGTTGTATGTTTTTATGTAGTTAGTATCTATATATGCTCATTTATATAGAAATGAGGTTTAAAAATTTTTGTTTTCTCTGAAACACTTGTATAGCTGTCCTTTAAAAACCCAAACCGTCTGTACATGGTAAAGAAATTACAGTAAGTTACAAAAAGTGGTCAGATAAATCAGAAGGAGTATTTTGAAGTTTAAGCCACATTTATGGTATTAAATAGTTTCACATTATGGCAACCATCTTGAAAAAAAATTAGTGCATATGTGCAACACCTCTTTCTGGAAAAAAAAAAAAGGAGTTTACTTTTCAAATGCACGTGAATTAAATTTCTCCTCATAAATACACTCCAGCTGTTTTCAGCTTCTATTTTTATAATGAAAACTTTTAAAATTCAAACATGTCTAGCCATACCTCAGGCTACATGTGGCGTGCTGGTGAATGCCTACGGTCTTACTCAATAGAAACTGCGGATACCAGGATTTTTGAAAATTATATTCAAGTTCACTTCAATGAGCCAATAGGTTGTTTTTTCAAGAATGCATTAGGTGACTTCCCTGTGTGAATTTTCACACTTCTAAAAATCCTGAAATGATTTAGCAGTGTGCTTCACCAATCTTGAATAAATGTCTTGAAATTAGCCACTAGAGGGCATGAATACCTATCCTCCTCAACATAGGCAAATCAAATGAGTTTTGTGGGCTTACAGTTCTTAGGCCTAATTATGTTATTTGCTTGTAGAAAACATTTCCAAAGAAACAAAACTTGAATGTCAGAGCTGAGCAGAAGGGAGTATGTGATTATTATATAAGGTTAAGGCTTAATCTCAGGTCAAATCATTATGGTCACTCTTACTTGATTAAAAATATTTAGAAAATTTTCAAGTTTACTGTAAATGTTTGTGCTACAGTAACTGGAAATAAAAAGCATAAATAGCAAAATACAGCAACAGCACAATATAAGTGTTTAGTTTGGTCTTTAGTAGTGAAATAAAATGCTATTTAAAGAAATAAAGAGTAAAACATGAACAGTAGTCTTTACTACACTACTGAGAAAATGTCATGGACACAGAATATTTCATTGTAGCTACCTAGCAAACTTTTCATGAAATACGTAGTTCCAGTTCTGGGAAATGGAGCTCTTACACATAGTTAATATGTGCTGATACGTTGTCTTGATATATTTCAGATTTGGGATTACTGGGGAGACTGAAGTCGCTGTAGAACAATAAAATAAAGAAAACACTGCTTACCCCAATTGACTGAGGGCAGATGGTGGCATGTTATGTAGGTGTTGCTGTTGCCAGCCAGTCACAGAACCAAGATGAAGAGCACTGGCTGTATTAAACCCAGAGAGAGATGATATATCTGCACTACTCAGAGAATATTCTAGATTTGAAAACAGAAAAGACAATAATTAAAAGAGAATTAAAGAGGAAGCAATTAAACAATAACTAGCATTGTAATTTTCATGTCACCTTATAAGCCTTTTAATTACACCAATCACATTAAGTTGCAGCAGAAAAAGTAGACCTTCCTCTTTCCTCAACTCATTAACTTGGGAGCAAATAATGCACTAATAATTAATCTGTAATTTAGCAGGGCTTTTCTGGATCTGGAAGATCCAAAGCATTCTTAGCCTGTATATCCACCATAACTACAGATGCATTCTCACAGAGTCAAAGACTTGAAAAACATAACAATATTTCGGTTACAGTCTTTCTTGCAGAACCCAGCAGGCAGCCTGTGTCTGAACAACACACGTCTTCTCCGAGAGCGTTGGATCTGTACGCCAGCATGCTCTATACAGCAGCAATGTGCAACGGCAACTGGAAAGGATCTCCTGAGCCTTCGTTCCTAGTCTCTCCCAGGTAACTATGTGATAGCCCACTCTGTTCTGAAGCCAGTGAAGCTACTTGCTCCCACCACCCATATGGCTTTAGGAAGGTGCACTCAACTACATGAAATTACCTGTGATATTAAGAGGATTAAGAAATGTCTTTTAAGTTACATTTTTTATTAAAGCCAATGAAAGAAAGCTATCAAAGCAGTTTTCCATTCGAACAACATAGCTAACTTTTAAATAGGTATGTCTCAAGTTAGTGACAGATACAGAATAGGTAAATGTAGTGCAAAAGCATATCAGCTATGAATTTTTCCGTTTCTCCCGTCGAACATGAGCTAATTCATTAGAACTGAGATAGACATTTGTCAGCATCTTGCTCCCTCCCCCACCCTTTACGTCTTGCACCCATACTTACCAGTACCATATGTTGTTGAGATGGCTGATGGGTATCCTCCCATCCCTTGCCCTGGTAGAGTAGGAGTTGCTACGGAAACCACTGGAGTAGCCAATGACTGAGCAGACTGGGAGTTATTTATCCTCTGATTCTTTTAAAGTAAGTAAAATAAACATATTATTGACTAGCTTTAAGTCAGTTGAGTGTATTAGCTTTCTGGGTATGTTTTGTGCATGAGAAATACAGGCTGATACAAATTTCTAGAAAACTAATCATTTAACATGTGGCTTTTATGAACTCTGCCAACCCTATCATTTACAAGCCTTCAAGAGACCAGTTGTCACCATAGTAACCCATTACATCAGTATCTCCTAGGTAACTGAACTAGTAACAAGTAAGATTGCTTTTATTGTGGGTAGAATAACAGATCGTGTGAAAAACTAATGAAATATGTAAACTCTATTCCCATTGTTTTCCTTTTCATGCAAATGAAAAGGAAAAAAAAAAAAAGGGCGAAAGAAAAAAACCCAAACCCAGCCCTACTGGATTTCATGCTTTGAAAGTGAGGGGCACCCCGAGATTGCTGAACACTGAACTCTTACCAGCAGATGGTGCTCTGACTACTTCGTTTTTGTGCAATACAACAAACTTCAAGAGCGTTAGGTAGCACAGCAGTTACACGTTTATCTTTAACTCCGGGGCACTAGATGTTGCACTGTAAAAATTGCACTAGAGAACTCTAATCCTGTGAGTGGCAGGATAAAATGACCAGAGAGCCACCAAAAAAATGCCATAAGGCTGCGCCATCTTCAACAGTACAAGTTTACGGGCTCTCAAAGCACCAGCAACAAGAAAGCTTTATTCTAGCATGCATAATTTGAATATGTGCAACAACTGCACCTGGCCTTCCATATTGCTATATTTCAAAACTTACGATGACCTTTTTGTTTACAAAACAGTTAAGGTAAGGTTTTCCATTTTATTTCAACCAACACTTCACCTACACAAGTATCAATCATACAAAAGAACTGATTTTCTTTTCCTCGTTATTAAGATGAACATCACTACCACTTACCAGAAGCAGATCAACATCCTCAGACTGAGTGCATAGGAAAGGAGCATTAAAAATTAGTGAATATAAATATTTACCAGGATGCAGATTTCTAGCCTATGGAATAGCTTCCTCTGATAGGGTCAGCAAATTAAACACTTTCTGAGCATAATTTGGAAAAATAACACTTCATAGATCTCTTCTTTGTCCTTCTAATGGGATGTTTGTCTCAATTGCGAGGACAATCTATCCAGTTTTCAGCACAACACTTTCTCTAAGAATTCATTATTTCTTCCACAACCCCAGTGGCTGCAGACTGTGTTGCTATACCTGGTTTCAGGAGACCTGACCATTCACAGAATCCCTTGGAAAGTATCAGTTTTAAGGTCCTTGGAATAAATCATTTGATGCAGACAGCTTGTCACTGCCTTGGTCGACTTTGAGCATTGCCCTGTAGGAGACTATTTGTTACTTTTTCTCTCAGAAGGCAGCATCACATTTATGGGGGCTTTTAGTTTGATGTTCTAAGTTAATTTATTATGCGTCAAGCTGAAGTAGCCAACTTGGAAGTTGTTTTAATAGTGTCTGTTACATAATGGAAAAATGTGTTTAGAGTGTCACTTAAATTTACCATCAAGATCCTTTTTAAATTAAGCTCACTTTTAATGTTAAATCACTCATGAAAGATTTACTTGCAACCACTAACCGACTTCCATAAGGGAACTACAAGATACGCACATGACACCTTCACGATTCAACCTTCTAGAATAATAGCCTGCCTAAATTTTGTTAATCCTGGCAAGAGATACAGTAGTTTCATGCTCCTTTTTATCCTGCTCTATCTATTTACTACCTCTTATGATTACAGAATTTGGCCTTTGGAGCTCAGAGTGATAGAGTTCAAATTAATTTATTTGTAGTTAATCTGCCATCTGCTGAGAGTCTGTGTGGCTAAATATTTAAGAAAAACATAGTAGGTTAGGAATTCAGCCTTTATAACAAATCCAGGAAAGGCTCTTCCAGCTACTAGGAAAGAGAGTGCAGAAGTTTAGACTGTGCAGGACACAGTTCCTATTTTGCAACTCAACAGAAAAAAGGGAGGAAGTAAATATGACTTCATAAAAGCAATCGAACAGGCTTTGCCTACATCCCCAGCTCGATGTCAAACCTTAAGGTTAGACAGAAAGACCAAACAAGCAAGAATATGGAATGTTATTCTGCTGATTTTAGTTGCTTGAGCAGGCCTTGAAATTCCTAAATATCTCTTATCTGAAGGAGACAAAAAAAAGCTTTGAAAATGCATTACCACTGATGGCATTGTATTCTTGCTGCCAGGTGGAATAAGCACACGGAGATCTGGTTTACGGTTGTTCATTCCCAAATTCATTGGAGGTGGAGACTTTGCTTGCATATTCTTGTTCAAGTTGCCAGGTGAGACCAGCAGACCTGGTGAGTTGCGGGGGTTGCCATATCCATTTCCTGTTTAGGTAAAAAAAAAAGGAGAAAAGAAAAGAAAAAAGAGAGAGAATGATTATAAACTACAATGTATTTCTTAAGACTGAACACTAAAAATGTCAAATAAAAAAAATCAAGCTAAATACCTGTGTCCTGTAATGTATCTTTATAGGAAAATACAACACATGCCATATTTGGGACAACTGGTCTTAAAATGCGTTCTCTCATGGCAGCCAACATCTCAGTGATGTGCTGAAATTAACTTGATTATACGACTCTGTTTACAGCACTATGGTATATAGCACAATATACTGTGCAGCCAAAGCAGCCAAGATCTAATGTTTGCCTTACAAGAGAATCAGAAAAGTCAGACAATCTTATGGCTTAAAAAATGTCAAAGCTATGCTGTGTTTTCTTGACAACTACAGAGGATTCTGCCTTGCCTGACTCAGCCCTTTCCAGGTCATGATTTTGTTTTGTTTTTAAACAAAGGATGAGTATTGCAAGGCTATAATTTCCAGAAAAGGCAGGGGGAGGACTAGGAAGATTCTTAAATGTTTTTGGCTCTCTTTCACCACACTTTTTGGACCTGATTCTGTCAACACTAAAGTCAATGGGAGCAAGAGCATAACCTTATTTGGAAAATACCACCGTATCTTTCATCTTCATCTCTCTGCTGCTTTCTGCAGGCCCCAGGAACAATTCTGACAGGCAAATGCTTCATTTGCCTTTTTCAGAAAAGGGTTTCCTTCTCTCACCACGTAGTACTGACAACTGTATATCCGTAAGGTTACTGACCTACCATTCCACTAAAAATGAGACCTTCCTATTTCATCCGCCTAATTTCACCTCTTACCCACACAAAGTCTGGGGAAAGAGGTGACTTTTTAGTGTAGCCTTGAAATTCTGTCTGCACAGGCTCAAGAGAGATACAGAAATTGCCCAGTCATAGAGCGGGAATAGCATGAAAACCAGTACAGAAAGATAAAACTTCCATGGATAAATACCAAGAAAACAAGTGCTAGGGGAGACTTTCTGTTCTGTGCTCATCTTTCATTCACAGCTCGCAAGCTGCAACACACAACCTAGAAATAGTGTGGGAAGATGAGCTCGTGAGTGTGGCAGAGCCCTGTGAGTTAGAAGCCCTGGACCTTTAAGTTGCCCTTGTAGACCCAAAGTCAGTGAAGAACTGAGTATCTCACTTTTTTCACACATGAAATGGGGTTTACAGCCCTAAAGGACATGAAGGGATAATGGAACTAAATTTGATAAGTCTATGAGGTGGGCACAAAAATGATAGTACATGAGAGTGAATCTGTCTTCTAGTTAGGATAATGAAGTGAGTCCAAGTATGACTAACATTATATCATGTTTTTAATCCACAAGCACATCAGCTAATTGTATTTATCAGATCAGCAAATCCATGGAAAAAAAAGATCTCTCAAAGGCTATTAAATACAAACCCACCACTTCAAGCTCTGGAAGACCCTGAACTGCGAACACTAGGCTTAGGACACAGGAAAAGTATCACAAAGTGCTTGACTTCCATATTTGTGAGGTACCTTTAGTCACAGGTCTGGCCTGGCTTGTTTATTCTCATGCTTTTTATTCTCATGATCTCCCAAGCCTTTGCAAAAAGGAATTAAGATGAAAATTTAGAAGCAATCAGATCACTTCAGAGATTTGGTATTAAAATACTTTTCATAGTTAATCTTGTTGTTTATTTCCTCAATAATATCTTACAGTTAGTGAGATAAAATGTGTTAATGAAAAAAAGTGTATTTTACACTTATCAAGCTAAAATAGCAGAACACTGTCAAGAATTTTCCATTTTGTGTCAGCAGGCTTTTTTTTTACAGGAACAATTGCTCTCAACATGCATTTGCTACATATTATGCTCTAATTAATGCTATGTGTTACTAGAGATGGTGAAATTTGAAGGGGCATTTTGCATATACAACAATATTTTCTTACAGAAATTAGAGTGCCTTTTAAAAGTTGATCTTTTACAAACAATACAGAAAAACTAATGACGTGGTGAAGTGATCAACAGAAGAAACTGAAACAAAAGTAGAGTTTCTCTGGTGCTGGTTTCATACAGGAGCTATTTTACCAACAGGAAGTAAAACTGCCTTGTGAAATCTGTTGTATGACAACCATTTGTTCAGAGACTGAAAATGAAGCTGTGTATTTTTTTTAGTTCTATGATATACAAATGAAAATATTTAATGCAACAGCATGCACTGTAATCTATACGTTTGTTTCTATAGTTGTGATTTTCAGAGAATAGAAACCCTTACAAGAAAGAACTCCCGTTTTCTATGTAAGCTTTATTTAATATAATTTACTGTTAAAATTTAAGAGAAAGGATGCATCTGTATAAAACTTTACTCTTCAGAAACTTTCGTCTGACCTTTATATTATTTACCTACTGATGTAAAATATTTTGAACAGTGATGACATTTCTTACAATTATATTTTTAGAACATAAAATTATTTTTAAGAACTACTGCAATCTTCTCTTTACCAGTAGATTTCTGCTGTTCATGGCATATTATGCCAGCTAGCATTTTGGAGCCATATAATAACCATTCCTCTTTCCAGGCACCAAACTGTTTCTTTTGGTATAATGTGGATTCAGGAATGTAAGACTGTGGACCTTAAACCAATGATACAGAAACCCGTCATTTGAAAATCAATGATGAATGCATGCATGCGGTTTACAGTTAAGAAGAGTCTGCATTTAAACCAGCTCTTTAAACCGTATCCTCTTTACTCAGAAAGCTGTGGCCTGCTCTGAGGCAGCTGTCCCACCTTCAGATAAATCCACCGAAGAGAATGGCCTCATTTACATTCAGAGGCAAAAAAATGTATGACTTCTAATGTACAAATTAAACCTTCCTTCATCCTATAGTTTAAAATTACACTCTGCCTGGACAATTATCAATTTAGATGTGACTGTATGCAGAACATCGCATTCCACTATCCACTTGAAAGTGCAAAAATTATATGTCATGTATGAATGGATTTCCTGATTATAGATTATAAGAGAATGAAAAACAGATGGATTTTAGAGCAAGTTGGCTTTACATTTTTATTTGGTTAAAAGCCATATTTTTGCTGGAATAGAACATTTTTAAACATTACGGATATAACTTGTAATGTATAATGAAAATAAAAACAGTAGATGCACAAGTTTTAAAGGGCATATGTCAGAATTTGTAAATTTACAGCATTTTCAATTCAAGAAGTTTTCAGAGAAAATTATTTTTCCTCGTGTTGTTTGTTATACTGACTTGAAAGAGTAAAAATATTTTACATGGAAAAGAGCTTGTTTCTAGACAGAACTAGTGTCATGAAATGCAGTGACAGACTTTGTATTTGGACTAATGGCAGAATATAAAGACAAATGCTCTCTGAGCATAGAATGCTCTTCTTGGGCATGTTCCCACATTCTGCATTTAGGCACAAGTGCCATTGACTTTAGAAGGAATTCTGTCCCAAGTACAGACTGCATGATTAATCCCTGCAATATCACTTTTTAAAAACATCCAGAAAAGTTATTTTTGGGCACCAGTAGTTAGTCAGTCAAGAAGAATTATTAAAAAAAAAATCATTTACTCATGGAAAACTACGATTTGAACTACGTTACAAATTCACGTACTGCTATCTTAAACGGTCACTTCCATGTTTTAAGAATTTAACGGTACGAGCAGGGCACAAGTTTATTCAGGACAGGACAGAGAGCAAAGTTTACTTCTCTTCTTTCATCCCCCATTAGTAACACCTGTACCTTACATGTAGTTTTGGTCACTGGTGTTATAGTGGTTGCAAAGTGGCTGCAACTCTTGATATTCTCAGAGTTAGGGCAATAATTCTGTACTGAGCGTTTAAGCCAGGAAACTTTCCACGTGTTAAGGTAACACACATGAGGAAAGAATAATTTATTTCCATATGTCTCAACATTCTTGAACAGCATTGTCATGATTCAAAGTCTTTAAGCCTTGAAAAATTGGAAAATTTTTGTATTTTGATTTCTTGAAGTTCTGAACCTGTCGTGTCCCTACTTGTTTCTTTTTTAATTTGTGATTTCAAATATACAAAAATATACTGAATGAAAAAACCTCTATGGTAGTCCTAGAAGAACGAAGAACAAGACACACAATTTATATGTCCTTTCTTTGATCTCTCTTTCATTTACCCTAATGCTTTTCACTGACCATATGGGTTGAGAATTTACAAGATCTTTAGGAACCTGGGATGCTTACCTCCCATTAATTGTAATAGGAAAAGAGCTTTCAAATTCTTGAAGGAATTTCAATAAATATTAATGGTCATTTCAAGCTTCCAAAAAGTGCATGCTCTTACTTGTGGAAATTATCATAATTCTTCCAAGAAGAATATTTACATTCCATTTCATGCAGGATTCCTGCTTCTTACTGGGTTATGTTAAATGCACATCCCATATATATGACATTATGACTGACCACCAAGCCTCTCAAAAAAAAAGTTAAATTTAGAATAAATCTATATAAACATGAGAGCCAACTATGCTACAATTTACCTCCACTTTAAAATATATGTATATATAAAAGAATCAATGCAGTAATAGAAATTCTGCTAAATTTACAGCCAGTTTGGCACTCTTTACTCCGTTCATTTTCCTACTTTCTGGAGGAAAGGTAATCATTCCTAATAGTAATTAAAAGGCAATGAAAGGTTTCCTTTCCTCTCTTACATCTTATGTGCAAATTTTTTTTTTTAATGCATACACACTGTTGGAACAGGCTATGGTTTACCACCCAAACAAAATAGATACCAACAATAAAGCACTGATGCCAGGAAGCTGTACCGGTGTTCACCTAAACATAATTTTTAAAAGGGATAATTGAAGGTTCTTACTCACATGTTGCATGCTAGTCATTTCACAGTACATGACCTCTACTAACTGCAAGTGGTAAAAGAAAACCAAGCTGCAGATATGCTCACCCCAGAAAAAAGAAAATCTTTACGTTAAAGCAGCT